GCAGGGAAGGGGCTGGGAGAAGGGACCGAGCCCTGCCCCCGCTGCGGCAGAAGGCGCCCAGCGCCCCGCCGTGCCCGCCACGTCCCCGCAGTGCCCCGGTGTGCCCGCAATCCCCTTCCCATCCCCATCACGGGGGTCCGGGCCGCCTCTGTGCGGGGTCCCAGGCCACTCTCAAATATCCAACGCCCAGGCTCGCGCGCTGTGCTGCAGATGTAGCTGTGGTGGCTGCTGGGGCAATCTCTATGCCAGCCCAGGTCTTGTCGGTCCCGTGTTTTACCCGATCAGCTCATCTCCTGCGGCTGCGCTCGTTCTTCTGCCAGCCCCGGGGGTAGAAGCTGTGGACCCAACAGGACAGGGAGGTGAGTTCATCCCAGGGCGACGGCCTGTCGCTCACCAGTATCACCGGACGCTCTGGGAGGGAGGAGACACCCCAGTTAGAGAGGCCTTCCAAGCTGGATCTGGTGGGGCTGAGATACCCACCAAGAGGCTGGGCTGAGACCTGCACTGGGCAATGGGGGCAGCTGGACCCAGCTCCATTTCGGCCCAGGAACTGTTGCCTCCCCTGTACTTCGGGAACAGGAGCACCAGGGACACAGTTCCCCAGGTGTGACAGGCCCCCGCCCAAGCTCCTGACACACCAAACAGCTGGTGGTTGGCACGGACCCAGGGAAGAGGAAGAGCTCGAGCTCGTGTCCCTGCCAGAGGAGTCATGTGCCCATATGCTCCAACTCGGACCAGACTCAGGTGGCCGGGCTGTCATCATGCCAGCTAGAAGGGACATACCCATTGGCCTGGAGCCCAAAGGAAACAGGCTAAGCGTGTCAGAAGGAAAGGACAGAGGACATGCCAAAGCTCTAGGAAGGAAGCGTGCTTTTCCTCCACTGCCAGAGCCCCTGGAAAAGGGCTGCATGTTGCCCCAGCAGTCAGAGCTGGGGCTTGTCCTGCGTCAGAGGCTGTAGGGACTCTTCCCTTGCCCAGGACCACATCCCAGGCAACAGAGATGAGACGGGAAAGGGGGAGGGCAGCGTGGAGGAGCTGGGCAGAAGCATAACCAAAGGAGCTGTGGGGAGGCAGCTCTCTGATGAGACAGGAGCATCAGGAAGACCTGTGGGCCAGAAGTGCCCCCACAAGCAGTCAGCTGGAGTGCAAGCCACTTGAAGACCCAGTATGGGCAAGCCTGGGCTCCACCATACCCTGCCAGGTGCGCAGGCAGAAAGAGCCCACACAATAAGGGTCACTAGCCAGTGGGTGCAACAAGCCCAACCCAGAGGGCCAGAAGTGGTGCCCAGGAAGGGAACAGTTCAGTGTGTGGAGGCATCACTGCCATGCCTGAGCTATTTGTATGTTGTTACCTGTTTGGTTGTGATTGTGAGACAGAGGCACAGGCACTATGCTAGCAGATCCGATCCTCACTGCACACCTAAAGAAGAAGGAGGGATCACATAGTGCATCTGACTCATCATCCAGATTCAATAGTCACTCCTGAGTGGAAAGGAGCGGGGTGGAGGGAGGAGGAGCCCCACAGGCACTTTACACCAGGCTGAGCGCGCCAAGGCCATCAGAGAACCACCGGTACCACCGCCCTCTGAGTGAAGATTCCTCTGGAGGAAACAGCAAAGTCGTGGTGGGCAAGAAAGACAAGGTGTGTCATGACCAGGTGAGCAGGGCATGACCACTATCTGTCGGGGATTTGTCAGGCATGGACATGTCACACCACGTCTTGAACTGAGGGAATGGGGTCTATTGCTAGAGCTGCTCTCTACTTCTCAAACATGGGCCTGAGCCAGACACCTGGGAGGATGCCCTCACCTGGAGGGGTGTGACTGGGGCAAGGACAGACCTCACTGGGTACCAGAGTAATAGTGCGAGGGTGAAGATATCCCGCCAGTGGCAGTGCTCACTGTGGCGGGCCAGTAGGGGGCGCTCCTGCGTTGAGCCGCCCACCTCCCTGCTCCCGACCACCTTCGAGGAGCAGTATGTTCTTGGTGGGGTGGGTGGGATGGCCCTGGTCAGCGCTGCCCTAGAGTGGGGTAAGACTCATGCTCACTTCCCTGCAGCGCTTTCACCCTGTACTGCACGTATTTCTACAGTCCCTTGATGGAGGTCTCCAGGTAGCTTCTCACTTGCTGAAGGCTGGCCTGATCCTCATTCCAGCTGCATTGGGTGACCTGGGCCTGTGGGGAAGACTGCTACCCAGGCACGAGTACTCATGTCACAACTGAGGAAATCTCCCCCATCATAGCTGTACTGCCAGAGATCCCTAATGACACTGTCACCCCTGAGCTCATACTTGTACATGAGCTGGAGAGCGTGAGACGCTGAAACACACACACACCCCCTCCCACCCAGGCCCTGGGTCAGGACTTCCAGGACAGTCCAGACCCAACCTCACAGGGGTGGGGATGTGTTACATCCAGTGACGCTACTATGGGTCTTTTTACCAGGTACAGAGACTAAGACACAGTTGTCCTTAACTTTAAGCAAGTTTATTGAACCCTAACACTTACAATTTTAAATCAAAAAGCCAAAATAACTTTAACAGTTACAATTCTATTACTGTAGTTAGTTAAAAACAATATCCCATCTCACCATCCTGAGATACAACGAACAGGATGTCACTTGTTGATTAGGTTGTAAGGTCTTGTCCGGGGCACCCAGCTCCTATGTCTGAGTTTGGCGCAGGGTAGAGTTTTGGTCCGAGGATCAATGCTGAGGATTTTTCAGTGGGACTTCAAAAGAACCAAACCTATCTTATCTACACAGCCCCATTTCTTATCTTAATACATACTCTGTCCTATGGTCGTTTATGTCGCACATTTCTGCAGCAATCTTGCATGTTACTTAACAGCTATTTCTTCTATGGTTTGTTTACCTTAGAGAGCCTCTAGCTGTTAAGATCACATGTTGTTTTTCTGCTTTTAGCCAACTTCTTCGTTTCCTTAATTCATTCTGACTTAGCAAAAAACTGCATTTCATGTAAACAACACCCATTGCTGGGTGAGAGTCAAGCTGCTTCTGTCAAGCAGGCTGTACTTATGTCAAGGGCCTTTATTCTAGGCTAACAGAAGGGAGGAGGGTTGCTGGGACAGCTGGGGGGTGGGGGGCAGTCCAGCAGGATAAGGCAAAAAGGAGACATGACAGCAGCCCACGCACATGCTGGGAATGCCAGAGCTGGGCCAGAGGGGTTGGGTGTTCATGGACCCTTGAAGGTAAAGGGCAAGGTCAGCAGAGGAAGGGGCAGGGATGAAATCAGGCCGGAAGCAATCCAGGCTGGAAAGCAGAGCGGTGCTTCTCCTCCCGGGAGCAGCAAGAGGCTGCACAGCCTCCCCAGGGGACAGCAGGGGCGGGAATGGAGCTGGGGCCACATGGAGCTTGGTCAGCTGCCTGGAGAGCAGGGACCAGACTCAGGGGCCCAGGAGATGCTTCCCAGTCCTGCGTCCCATTCAGAACAAGCCCCTGCACTGCCACCCCACAAAGGTGATAGGGGCCCGTTTCCTGCACCCCCACCAATTGCACTGATGTACCCAATCCCTGTGCTCACACCCTGGGGTTGCCCTCACCTGGTCTCCTCCATCTACCTCCACCCCCAGTGGAGTCTCATCTCCTCACATGGACTCTCCAGCATTGCACGCCCATCCCCACATCACCTGTTCCTGTGGACATGCTGGTCAACACCCTCTCAGCTCCCCACCCCCCACTGCTGGCACGGCCACCCCACCACAGGGACAGGGACAGGGACAGGGACAGGGACATGGGGCACTCACCACCCATCTGATTGTAGCGATGCCGCAGGGTGCCCACGTCCCCTCCCCACCCCGCTGCCAGCCCCGCACGGTCGGCTGCTCCTGTCCCAGACGTCTGGGTCCACGGCCCCTGCACCCCGGCCCCACGGGGCACCTTCCTCTGCCTCTCGCTGCCTCTCGCCATGTCTGTCCTGGCCCTGGCCGCTGTTTGGCCGGGGCTGGCGGCGCCGCAATTGCCAGCTAAGTTCACACATACTTGCGGTGCCCCGCGGGAGGTCCTGCACGGCTCGGTCCGTCCCGTCCCGTCCCGTCCTGCTGCAGCGCGGCCCGGCCCCGGCAGTCATCGGGACCCCGCGGCCCGGCTCCGAGCTCCGCCCCGAGGCCGCCCCGCAGTGCTGGACCAGCGCCCGGGCTGCGGGCACTCCGCG